ATATATATATATAATTATGTATGTATATTTAAGAATTTTAAATATTTATGTGTGTGTAATAATATTGTATTTTATTTAAAGGCCTAACACTAACAGACGTTTGCTATACTAATTAAAATTCAGACATTAAATCAAACTCTCTTTTTCTGCCAGTGGTTCGGCCAAACGTCACGCTGAGGGAACCTACACCAGTGACGTCAGCTCCCACCTGCAGGACCAGGAGGCCCAGAACTTTGTGGCCTGGCTAAAATCCGGACAGCCCAAGCAAGAGTAGGCCTCCGCACTTCGAACTGCAGTGCCTTATAAAGTGTGAAAGAGATGGAAATAAAAATAAAAAAATTAAGAGTGATTGTGCGAGAGAGAGAAGTAGTCAAACTGATTGCTTCATCACACTTTCTCCCGCCCAACATCTGTCTTTTTTCTTACGCACCCTGTCCAACCTCACTGCCAAATGCTAATGCTAATAAATAGCGCTGAAACCAGTCTGTGTGCTTCTAGTTATCTTTCTCTGCTAATGTCTTCTGCTTCTGTGCTAATCAAACAAATACTTCAAAATCCTAACTGCAAAGATGCTAATTATAACCAGACATCCCAAAACTAATACTACAAACTTTCTCACAAACTGATTTTCCCAGAAAATCCTACATGCGACATGCTAAAGCTAAACTGTGCTAAACTTGATGTAGGCCTGCTAACTGCTTTTAAACCCATCATTAACTGGTTTAAATTTTAAATAAGTGTCATGTACACACGCTAACAAGTTGTTTATCACATTATGTGCAGTGTTGCAGACAACGGAGGCGCTAATTTGCCGCGCAGGAGGCATGTAGACGGCAGTTTCACCAGTGACGTTAACAAGGTCTTGGACAGCATCGCTGCCAAGGAGTATTTACAATGGGTGATGAACTCTAAGACATCAGGGACAAGGTAACATCTTTTCTAGTGGCTAACAACACAGATATGCTAAAGATATATGAATATTATAAATGCTAATCAGTACAAGAAGAAAATATGGGTGTATTTTGTGGAAGTTTTATGTGGTTATTGTCTTTTCTAGTGGCAAACGTGGCGGAAATCAATGAGGAACCAGTGGGCTTTCCTGTGAGAGCTTACATTTGGATCCTGATGGGTGTTCGATCATCAAAATGAATGAAAGCCATATCGCTTACAGGCAAAATGGATCCAACTCTTGAAATCAAAAGTCATTTTATTTTATTTTTTAAAAAACCTTTGAGCACTGTGGTTGTTATTTATTTTCCCTTAGTGTTAAAGAACATCGTGTAAGTTGTAACAAAAAAAAATATTTTTCTAATATTTTTTGAACTATTTTCTATGTGTGCGATAAAAACAAACTCAGGTGAATCACTAACACTCAGGTAAAAGGTGAAAATTTACGTGTGCCACCACTGTATCAAAGTGCCATTGAAAATGGTGTCTTGCTCTGCAAAATAAACATTTTCATATTCCACCGGAGCCTGTTGTTGTTGTATCTGTAGCGCCACCTAAAGGGTGTCTGCAACAATAAATGTGTTTGCGGTTTCGGTTTGTTTTATGTGCAAAGCCATAAGAAACATTTACAACATGTTTATCGAAGATTATTTATATATGGGGTTTTATGGTTATAATAAAAAAGTTAAATTTCTGAAATGAGCAAGATTCTTACATTTAAAAAATGCTAACACTTAACACTTCGCATTAAATTAAAAATCATATTTGTTTTGTTTTTTTGCAATTGATCAGAAAAAAACATCTATAAGAAATAATATATTAAAAAGACAACAAATGTGTTGCAAAATAATATTTTAAAATATTAAAAAATATGTTTTGTTTTGCAGCTGATCAGAAAAAAATATCTGAGATGAAAGAAAGAAAGAATATATGATGTAAGAAAAATAAAGATGAAATAAGTCAAGAAAAAATTATTATTACTGAAGTAAATGACCTTTATAATAATAATATTATTACACTGGAGTAAATTATGTAAAAAAATGTCTTTGCAACTGTTCCGAAAAAAAACACATCTAAGATTTAAGAAAGAAAGAAAATATTTAAGAAAAAAATACTATTAGTGAAATAAATTACCTCAATTTCAAGATAACATGATAAGAAAATATTTTGTGCAGTGCATTAATAAAATAATAGTTACATTTCTGAAAAGAGCAAGATGCCAACATTTTGTAAAAATAAATAAATAAAAGTTTTCATCCATTTACGAATAGCCTACTTGATTTTTAGTTTTACTTTATTAATTTACTTAATAGGTTTTTTTTTCTTTTATTAATATCCATTATTATTATTATTATTATTATTATTATTATTATTACAGTAATATAAATTACGAAATATAATCCTAATGAAATATGTAACCTTATTTTGAAATATTCAAAATATATTTATGTGTTTGTTTTGTTTATTTATTTGTAGTTGATTAGAAAAAACTCCACATAACTTGAGAGTCAATAATAATAATACAAAATAAAAATAAACACCACCCATAATAGTTAGAGATATTAAAGTGTAAAACTAACTGTTAAAACGAAATAGAAATATAGCTTCAAAGAAGTCTCTGGACTTGTTTATTTTCCCTTAGTGTTAAAGAACATCGTGTAAGTTGTAACAAAAAAAAATATTTTTCTAATATTTTTTGAACTATTTTCTATGTGTGCGATAAAAACAAACTCAGGTGAATCACTAACACTCAGGTAAAAGGTGAAAATTTACGTGTGCCACCACTGTATCAAAGTGCCATTGAAAATGGTGTCTTGCTCTGCAAAATAAACATTTTCATATTCCACCGGAGCCTGTTGTTGTTGTATCTGTAGCGCCACCTAAAGGGTGTCTGCAACAATAAATGTGTTTGCGGTTTCGGTTTGTTTTATGTGCAAAGCCATAAGAAACATTTACAACATGTTTATCGAAGATTATTTATATATGGGGTTTTATGGTTATAATAAAAAAGTTAAATTTCTGAAATGAGCAAGATTCTTACATTTAAAAAATGCTAACACTTAACACTTCGCATTAAATTAAAAATCATATTTGTTTTGTTTTTTTGCAATTGATCAGAAAAAAACATCTATAAGAAATAATATATTAAAAAGACAACAAATGTGTTGCAAAATAATATTTTAAAATATTAAAAAATATGTTTTGTTTTGCAGCTGATCAGAAAAAAATATCTGAGATGAAAGAAAGAAAGAATATATGATGTAAGAAAAATAAAGATGAAATAAGTCAAGAAAAAATTATTATTACTGAAGTAAATGACCTTTATAATAATAATATTATTACACTGGAGTAAATTATGTAAAAAAATGTCTTTGCAACTGTTCCGAAAAAAAACACATCTAAGATTTAAGAAAGAAAGAAAATATTTAAGAAAAAAATACTATTAGTGAAATAAATTACCTCAATTTCAAGATAACATGATAAGAAAATATTTTGTGCAGTGCATTAATAAAATAATAGTTACATTTCTGAAAAGAGCAAGATGCCAACATTTTGTAAAAATAAATAAATAAAAGTTTTCATCCATTTACGAATAGCCTACTTGATTTTTAGTTTTACTTTATTAATTTACTTAATAGGTTTTTTTTTCTTTTATTAATATCCATTATTATTATTATTATTATTATTATTATTATTATTACAGTAATATAAATTACGAAATATAATCCTAATGAAATATGTAACCTTATTTTGAAATATTCAAAATATATTTATGTGTTTGTTTTGTTTATTTATTTGTAGTTGATTAGAAAAAAGGCAATCTGAGATTTTTCTTTAAGTATGAAAGAAAGAAAGAAAAAAAGAAAGAAAGAAAGAAAGAAAGATAACTGAAAAAGTTCAACTTCAAATAGAAAACTTTTTTTTGTGAAAACAGGATAATATAATATAATCTTGTACAGATTATGGCGTGTGTAACGAAACGTAAACACTAATAAAGATTTTTTTTTACATCTTTTTTTTATTATTTTAATCATGGGAGTTTATCGTTTCTTTGCACTTGTTGCAAGAAAATCTCGCGACACTCTGCTGGCGTCACTTCCTAAACCGAGGGGGCGGGGCAACGTAAGGATGCGTGCTGTTTGCGCGTTGCGTCATCTACGTTGAGCTGCGCACATTCTCTAGGCTTCTGGAAGGACGTAGAGACTGCCGGTGTCATTCATATCAACACGGAGTCCAGCCGTTTATTATAACGCCTGTTCGGGGACTTTATACGCATTAAAAACATGATCAGGAACGGAAGCCATGCTGTGGAGGAGGAGGACAAGGGAGAGTCGAGCTCTACCAGCCACAGCCCGGAGAAGAGGAAGCGGGTGATCCGGGTGTGGTGTGACGGCTGGTGAGTGAAATGTGCGCAAAGTGTGCAGTGCATCTCTAAAGCATGCAAAAGCAGTTAGAATGGGTCTTAAAATGTTAGAATTCAACAAAAATGAAGTATAGTTGCACAGGGATGTTTTTTCATGGTATTTTGACATTTGCCATGGTATCAACAAAAAGTACCGTGTTTTCGTATCATGACAGTCTTGGAAGAACCTTGGAATACAAAAGTACTTTATTACTTTAGTAAGCATCAAGGTTAATATCACATCGTATTACGGTGGTGATTTTTTTAATATACTATCTATGATACTAAAATTCATGTATGTCAACACACATGCCATTACTATGGTACTTTTATGCCATTATACTTAATGATTGCCTTATTAATTGTTTTTCATTGTTTATAAAAAATACCATGGTATTACCACAGTACATGTGCACAAAACATAGTAGTACTATAGTATAGTGGTGTCGTGTCAGATGGCGATACTTTGATATTTTCCATGGAATTGAAAGATTATCATAAGTATTGTGTTTATATGGTACAGCATGGTATTTTGAAGAATACCATGGTATGTGTGTCAAAAAGCATGGTATTGTCATGGTAAATGTATTTGTACATGGTAAGGTATTTTGTATTTGTATTTATGTTTATACATGTTTATACGTGTCCAAAAATCTAGTGCCTCATACTGTGGAACTTTTTGTTAGTGTAGTAAATAGGCTTGAGAAATGATCAGACATTGATATTTCATAGCTAGAAAGTGTAGGCCTATCTTTTTCAGTAATTAAATTAAAACTGGAATAAAATATATATTAGATGAAAAACTTAAAAAACTACAACTGAAATTAAAATTAATTAAAGCTTTACAGAAATATAAAAAAAATGGAAAAATAACAAAAGCACAAAATAAATATTAAAAATACTAAAATTACTAAAAATACTAAAATTACTAAAATTAAAATTAGAACTGAAAATAAAAAATTAAAAGCTACATTAAATTTTATTTAAAAGCTAAATGTAATATTAATAATTACTATAATAGTATATGAATATATATTAACATAACACTGCAGTGGAGGCGCAGAAATGACACCCTTCACGCTTAAAGATGATATATTCCTCCAATTCATTTAACTGCAGCGTTCATTTATGAGTAATGAAATGTAACTGCAGTTATAAATAACACATAGTGTGAAGTGTGGTGCCCAGCAAAGGATCATGGGAAATGGAATTGGAGATTATGTCCCCATGTAATCCCATTGGCCTGGCTAATGATATTACTAGGGGTAAGGGCTCGTGGTGGTTAGATAACCCACCCGTCTCTAGTTACAGCTGTGTGTACAGCTTTTTATTTAGCTGTTATAAAGCAGTTATTTATTACATCACCTGTGTGGTTTTTCTAAATGGAAGTCATGTTTGACCCTATATCTAAAGTCCACATCTGTCTTCACAGCTATGACATGGTGCACTATGGTCACTCTAACCAATTACGACAGGCCAAGGCGATGGGAGATTATCTCGTAGTAGGAGTACATACAGACGGTATGCTTCACGCGTCATATTTCAGACCTTCACATAAAGTCACTGTAATGCTGTAATATATAAACTGAGAAATGGTCAAATATTTTCTCTTGTACACTCAGAGGAAATAGCCAAGCACAAGGGTCCTCCGGTCTTCACGCAGGCCGAGCGTTATAAAATGATACGGGCCATAAAGTGGGTAGATGAGATCGTGGAGGGTGCGCCGTATGTTACTACGCTGGAGACGCTGGACAAGTACAACTGTGATTTCTGCGTGCACGGAGGTGAGGGGATCCTTTAGACACTTATAGACGTTAAAAGCAGTCCGTAATCATGTTAATGTCTTTAAAGGTGCCATAATTTACACTTTTGTGGAATTTTATTTCTTGAAGTACACTTAGTTTTTATCCAAAATGGTTATAATTTAGTTTTTCATAATCATTTTCATCCTGTTTGATTCTTAAAATTTAACATCCTATATTTGTTACTGTTCCTTTAAGAATTCTATATGTAAATTATGTTACGATTGAACCTTTTCGCTCATAAAACACACACTGGTTCATGTCAGGTTAACGTCGGTTCAGTCATAAGCATTATGTGTAAATATAATATTAATA